TGGGGTCTTATTGTGTTTCTTTTTTTATTGAAAGCATAAATTAATTTTCTCTATTTAATTGGGCAACCTAGTTGTGAGCATGGTGTCATGGGACTAGATTTCTTACACTAGAAAAACTAGACACCGTGCGGTCTTAACGCAACACAATTCCCGCCCCTACGAGAAAGCGCTAAGTCAGCCTTTCGACGCCCCAAAATGACTTAACCTTGTAGGCTAAATCAAAACAAACTTTGAATATGAGATTTGAAGTAAAGACAATATCGAGAACAAGTAAGTTTGGGGAGAAAATCTCCCTTTCAATAAAAACTCCCCAACTCCAATGTAATCTACAATGAATCTAAGAATTATATGAATAACATGAATCCCATAAATTGCATGCCTTCCAACAATTCTCTCAACTCACATATACTACTTGAAAATCTAATGGATTCCAATCTAATCCAATCTAATAAATTACAATGAGACTTCATCCCTATTTATAGGCAAATCTCATGTAAACCTCCTTAGATTTAATGGTTAGGATCAATCCTCATCAATCCCCATCCAAGGGTCCCCATTGGCTACAACTTGCCTTTAAACCTCTTTAGACCAAGTGGAAGTAAACTTGGACTTTGCTTCTTTGCAAGTGGATTCTTCCTTCAAAAATCCCATGGGAATTATGTCCCTTTCATAGTCATCAAGTTGAGTTTCTCTTCCTTCCTTGGCCATTCCCTTGCAAGTGGGTTAAGTAACCAACTTGGACAAGTCTTCCCAAAATATCCCAGCAATCTGCCCATAGTATTTTCCTACAGAAAACCACCTGGTATGCTGGGATTTACTGCCCATGTCGCGCCCATGTCACTCCCCATGTCAGGCAGCCTGCATTCTGTGTTGCTGTGCTGCCTGCGTCGTGACGCGACTGCAGTCTGTGTCTGGCCATGTCCTGGCTGCGTCCTGGGAGCTGCCTGCAATCTGCCTGCGATGTCCTGGGAGCTGCCTGCAATCTGCCTGCGATGACTGCCTGTGTCGCAGTGACTGCAGTCACACCCGAATTTTCTAGGCATGACCTGGACATGAACCAGCCACCATGGATATTAGTCATTTCCCCACCATTTTAGGTGACATCCCTGTGTCATGCTAGATTTTAGGACATCACTTTGCGACCCGTCACAATGGGGCCTAAGTAATGGGTTTTGGGGATTAGTTGGATCTATAACACAAATTGTGAATTTTATTAAATATTTGTTTAGAAATAAATTTGAGGAAAAATAAATTTTAGAAAATGGGTCAATTTGTATATTTTTTATTTACTCCATCTAAATTCAAAAACTCTAGTCAAAACTACTTTTCTAATGTGTAGATGCTGATTTGACATAGAATATTGTCTACTTGCGGTTGCAGAGCGGATTATATTGTCAATGTGTGCAACACGATCAATTTGTTTAGAAACTCAATTCATGAATCAACTTGAAGATCGTATCGCACCGGCCAACGGTAGCCTTGTTAGGCTCTCATTTTTTGATCAAAATTTACTAAAAATCTAATTTTTGGCTAAACCAAATCGAAGCGTAATCATTTTCAAATTATTTTTTTGATATTTATTATTGATCTTTTTTTTCTAAAATGAATGAGCGAGCGTAGAAGAACTAATAAAAAATGGTTAACTAATCGAGACATGTTTTTAGTAGCTATGTCCTATGTTAGAAACGGACTGAGGTTACATGACACGATATGAAATATTAAACATAAACAACAAGAACACAAGAAATAAGAATTTAATTTGGTAGAGGAACCAAATATTTTATTCAACTATAATTAATGGAGAGATAAATTATAACAATATTGTGTTCCTACACAATTCTAATTTACAGTAATGAGTTAACTTGTAAAGAAGAGTTTACAATTTATAGGAATACATGTCAAATCCTAATAATAGTTCTAAAGATGAAAATTATGTCAAAAAAATGTGTAGAATAAACAAAATAAGGAAAATCCGGATGATACCGACACTCGAGCACCAAGCACGCCGCTTGGGCGCCAATAGAATTGTAGGTCGCATGTCCTCAATTGAAAATTTCGTCTAGCCGTTCGAATGTCCTGCTGGCGGTAGGCTAGTACCACCAATCATTTTTTTCCTCCATGGATCATATTTAGACGTTTTCAAGGCCCAATACATCCAACTATGCAAATCGTAGATAAATATGAATCACAAGACCGAACACCGTTCTATAGAATCGAGAATTTGAAATTTGTCATCTACTACGATAGGCTTTTTAGTTGCCATTAATGACATTGGTTAAACGCCTTTACCAGGGCCACATAGATCTGATAATGTAGTATGATTCTAATGAAAGTTTAAGATTTCTATCCATGTCAAAATTTCGATATTCTTCAAAATCGACGAAATTCATTTTCATTTTTTTTTTCATAATCCCCCATTGCATCATCATCACAGGCAAGGAAAAAGACAAAATCTATAAGGTTTACATTCGTAGAGTTGCAGTGAATCTGTTCATTATTTTTTTGAATTATTTCACATTTTTCTTCTGTCACTTTCTATCAAAATACAATTCAACGTTTCTATTCGTACTTGGACTATGCATACTTTTGTTTTATTAATCAGTGCTTGATTACGACATAAGGATTACAATGAAAACATTTTAATCACTCCTTTTATAAATTTTGGCCGGTGATTTTTTTTTTTTTTCATTTCCATCCATTTGAATTTGTATTTTCTTAATATTAAAAAAAAATTATATTAAATACAAGTGCTATTAGAACGTGTCTGGCCCAGCCTATTTGATCGGTAAAATCGTGAACTGGGTAAAAGTTGGACGGTTAGGTAGAAAATTCATATTAAAAAAAAAAAAATCATCGAAAACCCAGCCAATCCTCCAATTTTATGAAAAAACTATTGACTTGTATCCGGTTTAAATTTATGAAAATCACCAAACATTTGTCCCAAAAACCCATATTTAGATTTTTTTTTCATAAATTTCTTTATTTATTTTAATTTTTTAAAAATGAAACGAGTGGATCCTGCTTCGACCCTTTGATCATTTACCCTTTTTCGAGTCGATTTTGAGGTTGATGTTTGGAACCTTATTTTATACTTGAACCTTCCTTGCCCTACAGAAATGAAAGAAAACAGGGAAGACACAATACATGTGGGGTTCACTTTTTTGAATAATATTTAAATCAGGTGGGACCCACATATGTGAGTATTCGGTATAACCTCTGGCACAATTTTTCTATACATTCAGCATTGTTGTTTATACCTAGAGATACAATGATTAAATATAACAATTTTGTTACACATGCATTTTAGTTGACATTCTGCTTTACATTTTACCAGGTGGCACACAATTTTACCATTGATTTCTCCAACACTTGAAACAATCAATGATCTCGATTTTGCTACATATTTAAATGTCATTCAAGTTATACATAAATAATGTACAGGTAGCATAATTCTAAATCAATATAAATAATCAAAATTCTAATCGACCCAAGCCAACTATTTTTTTAATTTCAATTTTAGTTTTTATTTAAAACTAATTAAAGTAAGATATTTTAATTAGGATGGTGAACCAAACGCCAGTTGAATTAAATATCGTGGCCCAACCCAACCTAGGACGTGAGGTGGGGAAATGAGGGCTGAATTCAATGTATTTGAGATGCATATAACAAATGTTCGACAAGTGCCAACTACTGTTTTCAGCCAACTGATGATATCATAGACTACTTATTTTAGCAATCAATCAATTGGATGGTAACAGATGCATGAGCAGGGACAGAGAGAGAATACAAGTGACTAACTACCATCAACCACAAGAGTGCATGAACCCAACCTGGCCGCAATGTTTATTATTTTGTCGTGACTCCTAAAATTATTAGAGATAAAATTTAAATGATATAGAATTATACATGTAATCGGTTGCTCCGAACTGAACTACCTTACCTAGGACCAAAAAGAAGAAGGTTGGCCACCACGGGCATGACGTAATGGTAAAATATGAGGGTTGTCTATAAAGTATCGAAAGCTCGAATTCTCGCGACAATTGAAAGGCAACATTTATGCTGAAAGGAAATATCTACGTTGGAAGACAAATGTTCACATGGAGGAGAATCGCCAAATGTCCAGCCTTAATGTGTATAAACCGTAATCGCATCCGAATTAACCAGGGTGGCAAATCAGGAGGAAATGCCGCCACTCCTTAAGATTAGTTGGACGAAATTTGGACACCCGAGTAATAAAAAAAAAAAAAAAAGAAGAAGAAGAAGGTTGTGAGGTGACCTCGTTATCCACACCTCTGGTCAAATGAATGAAGGACCTATCGACTAGAGCTTTCACGACTATTGACAAGTTCTGAAGTGCTTGTCAAGAGCTCTAGAGCATATCCCGTGATGATCATCACCACATAATATCAAAGCACATAACGCGTGTGACTTCGTTAGGAAAAAAAGGTATTGATTTTGATCACACGTGAATGAGAATCTAGAAGCCAATTTTACCATTTTAACAATTTAAACTTTTAGCCCTTGTTTGTCTGATAAAAGTTGATTAAACGTGTGGTTGAAGATGTGATAAAGTTGTGAGTCTCATAAAATGATGTGGTTGAAAATTAGTTTGGGAAAGAAGAGTTCTAAAAAAATTGGAGCTAAATTGGGGATTTTGTCGTTCTTGAAATACATGGAAGTTTTTAATAATTGGTTCAGGTTAGTATTCATGTATTTCATGAGACTCACGATTACTATTGAAGCATTCATCATTTATTTCTATTTGTTTATAACTTATGTCAATTATAAACAATTTCCAAACATGCTATGGATACGAGTTTTTTTTCGTTATTATTATGATATCGCGTTGAATTATTTTGCACATAAAGTTTTTTGGAGTGGCCACGTAGTTGCACAAATGTCGTCAAACAGCCCGAGCCATCGCCTATAAATACCCTCGAACGTGAACTTGAAGATGTACAACAAAACATACACGACAAACGTTAGTGGAAGGAAAAACAATGCCTACTTCTTCAGTATCCATCATCTCCAAATGCACTGTCTACCCACAAAACAAATCCGCCATTAAATCTCTTAAGCTCTCTGTATCTGATCTTCCAATGCTTTCATGCCAGTACATCCAAAAGGGTGTTTTGTTATCAGAACCGCCATTTGAATCTGACATTCTCATCTCTCTTCTCAAGATTTCTCTCTCTAAAACTCTTTCTCACTTCCCTGCTCTTGCCGGCCGCCTTCATACTGAGAATAATGGCCATGTCCACATCCTTTGCAACGATTTAGGAGTCGATTTTGTTCACGCGAAGGCGCAATACATGTCTCTTAATAGCCTTTTGCCATCTGATCATCATCAAGATATCCCTTTCAATTTCAGAAAGTTCTTCCAATTTGATAACACTCTCAGCTATGATGGACATTACAAACCCCTTGTCGTAGTTCAGGTAACTGAACTCAAAGACGGCGTTTTCATCGGCTGCACCATCAACCATGCGGTGGTGGACGGCACCTCTTTCTGGAACTTCTTCAATACCTTTGCAGAGGTGTGTAAAGGGGCGGAGAAGATCTCGAGACCTCCGAATTTCAGCCGCGACACAGTGTTTGATTCCCCAGCAGTGCTCAATTTTCCCGAAGGAGGGCCGTCAGCGACTTTTTCTGGTGACGAACCTCTGCGTGAAAAGATTTTCCATTTTAGCAGAGAAGCCATCTCGAGGTTGAAATTCAGAGCAAATAACCCGACCCGAAAACCCGAAATGTCGGGCCCTGAAGGCGTGGAGATTTATGGGAAACAGAGTAACGATAATTGGGTAGTTAATAACGGTGAAAACTGTAAAGTTAACGGAAAAATAACGTCTATTTTGGAGGAGCTTCTCTTCAATAATAATAATAATAGTACTAATAAAGGGCACAAAAATCCAACTGCTGTGATTTCATCATTTCAGTCACTTTCTGCTCAACTTTGGAGGTCGGTGACACGTGCGAGGCAATTAGACGAGAACAAGTTAACGACGTTTAGAATGGCAGTCAACTGTAGACACCGGCTAGAGCCACGGCTCGAACCGCTCTATTTTGGAAACGCCATTCAGAGTATTCCAACCGTTGCTACAGTTGGGAAGCTCTTATCTAAAGACTTGAATTGGAGCGCAAATCAGCTGCACACGAACGTAGTGGCACACCAAGATGTTACCGTGCGTCGAGGTGTCAAGGATTGGGAGAGCAATCCGAGGTTGTTCCCACTAGGCAATTTTGACGGTGCGATGATCACTATGGGAAGTTCTCCAAGATTTCCAATGTATGATAACGATTTTGGATGGGGTCGACCATTGGCGGTTAGAAGCGGAAAGGCCAATAAATTCGACGGTAAGATCTCAGCCTTTCCTGGACGTGAAGGAAATGGAAGTGTTGATCTTGAAGTGGTTTTAGCTCCCGAGACCATGGTTGGTTTAGAGAATGATATGGAGTTCATGCAATATGTTTCGTGAACAAATTAATCATTGTATCAAACTATGTTTACTTGCGCTCTAATTAATCGCCGTGTTTATCATTGTATTGACAAATATTAGTATGAAAGTTTATTGGACTTTGTGACGTGAATCACGATATTGGGAAAATATCGATGTTATTCGACATCAAATACTAGATTGGAGACATTGTGTTAGGCCAGGAACACACAATATTAGATCAAGAAACAGAAAGTCCAAAGCTTTCTTTGAAATAAAGTGTAGTAAATTAAAGAAACGCAATTGATATATTTCAGCTTAAGTCCCGGATGTTGGGTGACCGCTTCTCACACCTATATCTCTCGTTGAGCATTCAAAAGATTGGACTATGCTCAGTTCCACTATAATGCCCAAAATGACAGCAAATGTTACAAAAATGTTCAGCTAAATCACAAAAAATAGTACAGAACACTTATGTCTCTCAAAATACTGCAATCAATCTACATGAACTCGCTTCAAAACCTCAAAAACAACAACTTAGAAGCACGAAGACTTCCTTACAGATATTCACTCAGAATATCTCCACAAATAGACTAAAATATTACAGATTGCCTTCTCAAATCGACCCTCAAACCCTAAACCAAAGAAAACCTTCAAATGGCGCACTTACGGAGAGAGAACAGAACGAAACCCTCAGTCTCGAATATGCCAAATGAAAATGGCATAAATGAATAGAATCATCCAAAATTCAAACCAACGGTCAACATTCATCTACGTGTTGCAATCAGGTTGAAAGTGTGATTTTAATAAAGTTGCATTTGCCAAAACACCTTTTTAAAACACAAATTATGGAAGCAGCATTCGAACCCCCCCCCCCCCCCCCCCCCCCCCCCCCC